CAATACGATCACCATTACTATTACTGCTACCATTGATGCAGTTGCTGTTGCTATTATTGTCGTTGTCGATGTCATTGTCATTATCGTTGTTGTTATTATTATTGTCGTCGTTATAATCTTTATTATTAACGGTATCATCATCATTATTATCAACAAAAAAACATTGGTCAATTGTATTAATGTTAGCTAAAAAGCAAATGAGAGAAATTTAACATTATAAAAAAATCAAAACAAATCTCGGTTGTTGAGATCGCTATAAAGCGAACCGCCGTACAGTCTGTATGATATTACCAGTCTGAAACTCTTTTTCTTGGTCACCTTCACAAAATATCTTAATCAAATTCGATCCTGAAAATTGTTCCTTGATCAACTAATTGTAATGATTTATGTAAACGAAACCAGTAAAAATAGTACATATTATTACATTATTGCTATTAGTATTAGATTATCGGATGGTTTTTTAAATTAAATTTTCATTGAATTTTCATTGCCCTCTTTATTTATTATAACAAATATTCTCTGTTAAGAAAAATTTACCCCCCCCCAAATTTGTATAAATTTGTTATATTTGTTATAAAAAGTACAGGTTACTCTTATATAAAGGTTCCCTAATCAATCATGAAACAAACAAGTTCGGACATACTTTTTTTCATCTATTGCTCTAAAATCTAGAACTGATGAATTCGGATAACTTTTTTTTCATCTATTACTATTACCTTACTAGTCGTACGACATATTCCGTTGACTTTCTTCATATGTGAAAATAAATTTGAAATTCGCGTCATATGAAGTTTTTTTATAAATTCAAAATTCGTCGTTAAGAGTAAAATAAATGAATTCCTTTTCATATTAAAAGATCTTATCCACGGCTATTCAAAAATGGTGTTGCCTTTTCACTTCAAACTCCATATTATTTCTCAATATCGCTTTAAAAGACTTGGTAGTAACAGACAAGGTGTGGAATGCTTTAAACTTCCACATAGTTATTATTTATTGGTAAATAAGTTTTAGAGAGGCTCACGAAAAACTATATTATATTATTTATTAACCCATTAGCAATCCGGGAGGTTTGATTGTCTCGACGGTTAATGCTAATATTACAATTTTATTATCCACAACAAAAGTTGAAATTATTCATGACCAATAAAATATATTTCAACTATCCAAATTATTTCGGATTTTATCGAAAAGTTGAAATAGTTTCATTTCGACTTCATGTGTAGAAATAATACCTTTTACTATAGAGTTTTTTGAAGAATTGAAATTTAAGGTAGAATATACATTACGCAAATTTTACTATGATATGGCGAATAAATTTTTTTTATCAAAAAAATAAAGTACTGTAGATCTACGTTTGTTAGACTTCTGGAGTTCTAAGATTTAATTTGATATAAAAAACTTATTATTAATAATAAGAATAAATCAATGATATAATTATAATATAAATACTTACCTATGCCATCTACGGAATAACTTTGATCATAAAAGAGATCACGGAAAATGTCAAAAAATAAACCATTATTATTATGTTTATGTGTTTCGGAACGATTTAATTCCCAATAACTCGAATCAAGATTAAAATAATAAAACAATTATATTTAGTCAAATCCATTATAGTCAAAGTCATTTCAACGAATTATAATTAATTTGTAAGAATCTCTAGTGTAATAAATTTTGAATGCGACTTTCTTATGTGAAACGTATATTCATTGAAACGAGGTTTGATCATGTAGACTTTGATAAATCAAAACTCGCATTTCTTCGACAGTTTTCGAAAAAATGTCATTATCATTGGGCCGAAGATAAATTGTCGTCTTTATACCATAACTTTAAGTTTTCTTTTGCTCCTTCAAAAGCTTCGATTTCTTTATTTCACCCATCATTTGGTTTCCGATTTTCTTGGAAGAAACAAGATCGTCTAATGAACAATTAACTCGTTGTAGGGTGGATTATTATATTAAGTCAAGAACTCTGATTTTGATCAAATCGCTAAAATATTATCATTATCATTATCATTATTGGATTATTGATGGATATAAACAACAAAAATACAAAATCACAATAGAGGTTGGAATCGTCCATAAAATTTTTAGTCGACTATTAATTGGTCAAAAAATTCTTTAGTCGACTATTAGTTGATTATTTTAGTTGATTATTTTTAGTTGATTATTTAGTCGATTATTTTAGTCGACCAAATTTTTTTTTTATAATAATAATATTTCGTTTTATTTTTTAATCTGCAAATTACGAATTTATTCCCATTTGAATCTTTCACTTTTTCAAAATACTTCCACACAAAACTATGTGTTACGATTCGTTTTTTTAAAGGTATTCTAGAACCACCGCTTAAATCATTGAAACTTGAATATTGGACCTTGTATTGGAGGTGTTTATTCATTCACATGTAAAATTATCATCAACAACACATTACTATTGTCGTCATCATCATATTGATGGTATTGATAAAAAATTTCCATTTTGAATGACAAAACGCAAAAATCGTAATTGGTCAGACAACGACAATATTAGCAAATATTAGTATTAGTATTAGTATTAGTATTAAGATTAGTATTGGTATTGGTATTAGTATTAGTATTAGTAGTATTAGTAGTATTAGTAGTCGACTAATTGGTCGATTAAATTAGTCGATTCCAACCTCTAAATCACAATCAAAATAATCACCGTTATTTAGCATCGTTATATATAGATAACAAGATATCTACCACTCGGGAGTTTTAAATCCTATCATTAATCGCACGTGACACTTTGCTAGACAGCTATCTAAAAAAATAAATAACAACATACACTCCAAACAATGGAACATCTGCGGTTGTAATAGTATATTCGATGTGGAATTAGTTGTTTTTTGCATCTTTATAGAAATCCTCAGTCAAATATTAGTTGATCAAAGATTTTTTTTTACTTGATAAATGGTAGATTATTCAAAAAAATCCCGTGATATTTTTTTAATTCATGTTCTATGTTACCTCCTTTTTTTCTTTTCCTTTAAAACCACTATTTAATCAAAGTAAATCAATTACTGGAGCCTAAAGCAAGGACTCGAAGCAAATGAATTATATCAGAAGTATTCATTGATTCATACGTAAAATTATCATCAACAAAACCATCATCATTTGAAATCGTCATTATTATAATTTTCCAGTGTTAATCTTTGTTCCACTAAGTTTTAATTAATATTATATAACTTGTAATTTTTTCAAATTGAATATTTTTAAAATTAAAAAAATTATATACATCGCAATGTAACAATGCGCATCTTGAAATAAGGTTGTGCAATGGTACCCGTTTTACATCGCAATGCAATTTTATAATTTAAGGAAAAAAAACAAGTATGTATAATTCTAATTTTTACAAATAAATAAATATATATAAATAAACATATACAATCAAACCTCGTTTCAACGGATTTATGGGACTGACCACCTAAATCCGTTGAAATAGAAACGAAACATCCGTTGAAACGAGATAATGATCGACAAGATCAACAGGAAAATTTTAATAATACCTAGGGGTATGGGGGACAACTCAATGTAACACATATAGATTTGTCAATTTCAAAACTGTCACCATATGGGACATTTCACAGCAAAAACCACCTCTCAGAAAAATAGATTATTTTGAGTAAACACATGTTCAAAATTTGTTACACAGAAAAAGAAAATTGCCCCCTAAAATTTTTTGATCATTGATTATCCCAAATTTAGTAAACAAGAAATTATAACATCCGAACTACGTAATGCTAAAAATTATAATAGCCCAAATTTTATAAATAAAATTAATTTATCAATTTTATAAGTATAAATATTGTACATAAGAATTTGCATGTGATGGATTTTTTGGATCAATTAAAAAAGTATATAGAAATAGAGTTATAAATACTGTTGATCATGTTGAAGAAGCTATAAATGATTCATCAAAAAATCATAATAATCAATCTATTAGATATAAAAATGGTATGGGATGGAAATGGTATGACTTTAGCTTACTATTTAATGACAATTTCAGAAAATTACCAAATATAAAAAAATACCATCATTTTCGCTTTAGTAGTAAGGATATTGGAAAAGTTTATGTTTCTGAAAAATCTGGTGGCTCGGAAATTTCTTTTAAACTTCTAAAGAATGCTAATTTTGATAAGGATGGTCAATTAAATATTATTGAGGTTGCTCCATTAACAGATGATAGAAAAAAATATTTGTTTACAAAAATTCGCCAACATGTAGAAGACCCATTTAAAGATATTCTTTGTCCAGAACCTAATATTTATTGATTTTATTTTAATGTATATTAATATTAATATGTATGTATTTTTTAAAAAAATTTATTTTTAAAATTTTAAATTATTGCGTGTAACAATAAAATGGGGTGCGCAGATCAATTTATTATTTTGTGCAAATTACTTTAAAGAAGGTGTCCATTGCAAATTCCCCGTTTTTTTATTAAGCAAATATGGTCTAATATTTTCACCAATTATAATTTATATATTATAGATCAATATTATGTAAAAAGCTCAATTTTGGTCAGATGACCCCAGAGGTGGTTTTTGCTGTGAAACGTCCCATATACTGTGCGACATCAATGGGGCTGTGTAATAAATGTTATTTTATTTTTTTCATTTTTTTAAAATTTGACATTATTGGTCGGTTAACATGTGTACCACTCATCGACCCCTCAGCATTTTTTACACATGATTTTTATTATATATATATAGTAAAATCACATATAAAATCTATTTTTAGAAAAAAATTTTCCTAGTCCACATATCTGATCATAAGCAATTCGCCGTGTAACCTTATGATTACACAATTTTTTTTTTATTAAAATGTTGTTATCTATTGATATCTATTGGCTGATTTTTATGGTTGCATTATCCCAACTGAATTTCTATTCATAAAAATAACTTTCTTTATACACTGATCATAAGAATAATTACACCAAAAATTTCGTTTAATACTATATACATATCTACCAATAAAGACATGTTGACTTCTGCTCATGAAACTGAGGAAGGTAAGTTTATTTTAGCACACTCTATTTTGCATCTCAGTGATTATTAAGTTTTTTCCATTTTTCCTGCTAGGAATCCCAGTAGATGATCCTGATTTTTTTACTTTGGACCGCAAGTGGTCTTTGTTAAATTTTTTGCTATTTCGACAACAATGTACTGATTTCCGTGCCGACAGATGTGGAGAACACAACCGATATGTTCGTAGCCTCGCAAGTATTATCAGCTATGAACAAGCATCCACAGAATTGATTGAACGGGCTAGCGACGCGCTTAGTTTGGTACAAGTTAAGTGTTACCTCTTGATATATTTTGTTGGCAGTGAACGGATCTGAAGGGGCAATAGCCTTTTTGGATGGGGTTGCGACCTGCGTTCAACCACCTAACATCCCTGATCACGATTGGGGATGCATAGTTGCGACTCAGGTGGTTCCGTCCTGCTGAAATGTGTTCAACCACCCAAAATTCCCGATTGTGATTGGGAATTCATGAGTTGTGACTCGGGTGGCTGTTTTGCACATTTGATGGGTTTCATCAACCACCCGGCACCCCTGATTGCGATTGGGAGTGTGTGAGTTGCGACTCGGGTGGCTATGTTTCTCATTGAGTTGGTTTATTTTTTTTTGTTGCTAAATATTTTGTTAATAGAAGGAAAAAAAGTCACCCTTAATTAATGACTTCTGGAAGGCAATTACGTTGGTGTAAAAAAGGAAATTGGTAGATGCAATTGAACGCTCAGTTTTGCTGGTACGGAATACTGATCTGTTAATATAACAAGGCACATAATGTGATGTAAACACTAACTTGTCTATTGTAACAGGATGAACTCACTACAGCCACTATATACTCGACCTTCCAACATGATAGGCAGGAACAATTAGTTCACGAGAAAATTACGAGACGTTTAGAGGATATAGATGATGATCGCTCGTACAAATGTCAATGTGGGCAGAGCGAGCTACGAACTTCGGAAAATAAGGTGTTGTATTTTTCATTGTTTTGGATGGCTATAAGAAAGTTCAGGATATAATCCAGTGTTCAACGTGCAAAAATGGTTTCTCGCCTTTTCTTATCTTGCTGATGTGTTTATCAGAAGGATTATCCAAAAGAAAGCGAAACAGAAATTGTTAATACCGAGCAAAACTCAGAGGAAAGTGATACAAAAGTGATTAATGCCAAACAAAATTCAGAGGAAAAGGATGAGGTAGGTTTCCATAAATGATTAATTACACATCCGAAAATACTTTTCTAATCTGGAATATGTTGTTTTTTTTATGACTTTCCTTAGGAAGAACATACGAGAAGGTATAATCTTAGAAAACAAGAAAGATTTAATTATGCTGAGATCTCTGATTCAGATATATATTATGTAATTATTCTTTTTACTATTTCACATAATTGAAAATTATACAATTCTCATTATTTTTATTATTTTTGAATTCATCAAGTATCAGACTTATGAACGTGAATTGATGCCCTGCCCTATAACTCGGAATCCTTTAATTATAACACCAAACAAACCAATTATAACAAGAACAACCTACAATCAAATTTCAACGCATATAATTTGTGCCTTCAACGCAACAGTACATCTTGTTAAGGAAACAACAGAAAAGACTTTATATGAAGAAATCGAAAAATTTCTCAGGATGAGAAACAAACTGATTTTAAAAAGTTCAATAACTAAAAAACTTGGTGTAATCTTCCAGACAGATTATTCAGAAATTATTACGAAAACAATGATAGAGACAGAAAATGAAAAAGATAGCGAAACAAGCGAGGAATCTAGGTTTCTTTTTTTTATAAGGCACACCTTACTAGATTTTGTTGCAATGTTCAAGTATCTATCACCTAAGGTTTTAGTTCGGGATATGTCTGAAAGATCATACATTGTTGAATGCCTTTCGCCGATTCTTCGTGCATTCAGAAATGCATTTCCCAATGTGAAATATGAGTGGATTGAAAAGGATGTCAAATCATTAAGAGATGCGAGCAATATGTTTATGATTGATGTGAGACCCCAAAAAGCTGATCTGCTAGTTTTGAGGTTAACAGATGCAACTGAAATTTTATATATTGAGGTGTCTGGGCCACCTTATAAACCCAACAAAAAACATACAGTCGGGGATGCAAAAAAATTACTCATGATAGCTATTTGTAATTTGTGCAGAATACTTTCAAATAACTTTGATTGTCCAATAGATGATGCCAAGAAAGTCAGGTCATACAGTATTCAAGCAATTGGAGACCGGTTAACTCTGTTTGCCATTTCCCTTGTTGATAAAAAAAAGTATTTAGCCGTAGAATTAGCTTCATGTGTAATTCCTTTTTCTTTTGAAGCTATCACATGCTATTCAAAAATCTTTAATTTTTTTGCGGTTATAAGGAATGAATTCATTGAACAAGAAAAACTTCAGAAAAAATTCGTTCTTTCATTCCTTCGGTTGGCGGTGATATTGAAGGTTTACGAGAATGGATACATTTACCTGATGATGATTTAACGCCTGCAACGGAAGATGATATAGATGAACTCTCTTTATATGGTACTCAATAAAATTAAGAATAGACTTTAATGTAATTTTTATAGTGAGCTATACAGTAAGTACAAATATATTGAAGAAAAAGCTTTATATTTTTATACAAAAAATAAAATATGGCATATTATAGATTTATTCAAATAATTTTTTAGCTATATTGAAGAGGAAGCATTATACTTTTTATACAAAAAAATAATAAAAAGTCATTTATTGTTTTATTAAATATATGGTATATGATGTTATATTATTATTTTATAGATATTACTGAACAAGAAGAAAAGACACTAAAAAAAAATTATAAAGCAAATTCAATAAAAATTAAATAATAATGTTTCAATTAAGGCTTTTAGAAGAACTAAGGATTTATTATTATGTTTATTTAAATTTATATTTTATGAATTAAAGATTTGGTTATTACATTAGAATTCAGTTCCATTCTTCCTAACGAAGCGTTGAGAGCCGAACTTTTGAGAAATCTGTATCCTTTGAAAGACTTGGAATAGGCAATGCTGCGGTTTTTATTGATCTTATACTAAGAACCGCATATGATTTTGTTATTATGCACTGCTCTAAGAATTTCATCTATATATATGTATATTTTCCTATACTCTTATCAATTTTTTAACTTTATATTTATCATATATATATTAAATAAACAATCATAACATCTCACTTATGAACGAAGTATGTCCGGTGTGCCCAGAAATCACAACCTACACATTATATTTCTCTTTTTAATGCCTATTAAAAAAAAACAAGTACAGTCAAACCTCGTCACAGCGGACCTCGCCACAGCGGATTTCTTGTTACAACGGATTTAAATATTGGCCCCTTTTTTTATTAATTAAAAATGTTTGCCA